AAAAAATGCTTCGAAAACAAGGTGTACAAAAATACAAACATTGAATTTAGAAGGTATTTTTTGAAAAATGGTTGTCATGTAGATAACTGATTAATGATTGATTATAATTATAGAAGCTAATCAGTGAAAAGGTTGAATGGTATATCTATCATACTTACTCCTATCTTGATTTTCATATTAATGCCATCACTTTCATGATAACTATTATTTATTGTTGGTGACAGTGAAACATATCTATTATTTTTGTAGTGAATTATTAAGATACACCCATTAGAATCTAACGCACACCCTAATGTCTCTATCTTCATTATAAAGTTTTTATTTATTGGGTATAGATCATTGTATGTTTTTTTTTTTTTATTTCAATGCAAATTAAATGTAAATGACTATTTGTTATTACTTTTCTCCATATGTCAGTTCTCTGTACTTTGATATCCCTCCGTAGGCAATGTAAATCTTTTGTTGGAAAGGAATGTGGTTAGCCAAGAAATCATAATTACAACTTGGCCTGAATGCCCAAGGCATAGTGTTTGATGACCAGTGTAGACACTGTATTTGGGAGGTTAACAATTTCTGTTTGACAGCATTTTGTGACTGGTTCTAATCTTAAGGCCAAAAAAATGCAAATAAGATAAAAAATCAAGTGATACAAAATATAATTCTCAATTACAATTTAAGGGATAATCTCTCAATAATCCAATTCCACTGTGAGCTAAATTTAAATTGTGGAAGTTGAAAAAAAATTTGCTGTCTGCCTGTGATTTGATTTGATTTGATTTGATGTATTGGATTTTCACACAATAATATATACATAATCAGGAACACGAATCAAATGAAACGAAACTTATGAAATACATTTTCATGAAATAAGTAACATGTTCAGGAGCCCAAAGGTCAATTTTTAAATTAATTATGAAGCGAGTATGAAAGGTAGTCAAAATAAGTTAATAACTTTAGAACTTGACCACCTGATGAGATTCAACTGAATATACAATTATAAGGCCAGATTAAAAGAAAAAGGAAATATAAATGTATGTACATAATACATACATGCACATGTATGATAGTAATAATAATACCAATACCAGTAATAATAATAATAAGTATAGTATTAATATATGAATAGAGAATATCAATATAGAATATCAATAATACCAATACCAGTAATACTCCTACTACTACTACTACTACTACTATTAATAATAATAAGAATAAGAATATTAATTATACTTTAATAATAATAATAATAAGTAAAGTATTAATATATAAATGGAGAATATCAATATAGAATATCAATAATAATACCAATACCAGTAATACTCCTACTACTACTACTACTAATAATAATAATAAGAATATTAATTATACTTTAATATTAATAATTATTTATTAAAGTATTAATATATAAATGGAGAATATCAATATAGAATATCAATAATAATACAAATACCAGTAATACTACTAATAATAATAATAAAAAGAATATTAATTATACTTTAATAACAATAATAATAAGTAAAGTATTAATATATAAATGGAGAATATCAATATAGAAAATTTATTATTTGCAATAATAACAGATTTACACACCATATACCTGAATCAAGGACCGCTTAAATGTATATTTGAAACTTTGTAAAGATGGTTTGATTTTCCCAAAGCCTGGGGCCAGTGAAAAGAATAGAGGGTGAGCTCCAAATCCTAGGCTTCCCTGCCCCTAAGCTTCCACACCTGTAGGCTACCACTTAATAGGCATTTTTCGTTTTGACTACGCGGCCAGTCTACTACGGACTAATAGAGCGTGACAGACATCTGCGCATGCTCACAAACCTTACTGGCAAAATCGGCGTTGTGACAGCTTCCGCGACAACCCTAATTTCTGAATTTGGCGTAGTGGCGACTACCATAATATTGACCAATCAGATCACCGGATTGTTTGGCAAACTGCTGGTAACTTTTTTGTT